ACTTGAAAAACAGTGACTCTGTCCTTTATGTACATCTGCTAAGGTGTTTTCTATCTTTCTGTCTCTCTGTCTCAGGTGGAGGTGCACAGTGTGACAGTGGACTGCACTGTGACCTCTCGTTTTGCCCACACTGTCATGACCTCCAAGCTGTTCAACAAAGCAAACTCGACACAGGAAATCTTTTTTGAAGTGGAGCTGCCCAAGACTGCTTTCATCACAAACTTCAGCATGTTAGTCTGTTTCCTCTCTAATCATTCTGACAGTTTTATAAGCCAGTCCTTCATTTCACAACTGTGCTCCAAAGCTGAATTTGTCACTATCATGCAGTCAGTTTATATGCGTCTTCTGCTTCACTCAATACTAGTGATGGGATCTCCGAGAGAACCGGCTCTTTCGGCTCCCAACCGAAAGAGCCGGCTCTTCAGGTTGTTTTGTTGCTTTAATTAATTTATTATTAACAACAATATAAAATTATACACAAAAGGAATTACTAATGTAAAAAAATGGTTTTATTTATATATAAATATATACGGTGGCACAAGGCTCGCATGTGGAGTGAAGCGGAAAAAAGAGGGAGGAATGTTGGTTTTATTGTAAAGAAGTTACAGGAAGCGGTTGGTAAAGTGGAAGAATGGTCGTATAGGTGGGGATTCAAGTTTTCAGTTGATAAGACTAAGACAATGTTTTTTTTTACAAGGAAGAGGGTTAATGAGGACATTAAACTGAAGCTATATGGCATAGGATTAGAAAGAGTGAGGAAATTTAAATTCCTGGGGTTGTGGTTTGATGAGAGGTTGACTTGGGAAGCAAGCTAGATTTGATTCAGTATCAGGTGTTGAGACTTTGTACAGGGGCATTTAGGATGACTCCCACTGTAGCCTTGCAGGTGGAGATGGGGGAAATGCCACTAAGGCTTAGGAGGGAACAGTTTACATTGACATATTGGGCAAACTTACAGGGTCAGGGGACGGGTCACCCTACATTAGATGTACTTAGACCTTGCTGGGAGAAGGGCAGGAGGGAGTTAAAGAGCTTTGGATGGGTGGTGGGGGGAAGAGCTAGGGAACTTAAATTGGACCACTTAGACATATGTCGGCGAGTGCCGAGGCCTGCAATCCCTCCATGGATACTTCCTGAAGCAGCTGTAGATTTTTCTTCGTAGCGCCAGAAGAGTAAGGACGGGGCAGGTGGTCTAGACTCAATTATAGTTCAGGGTTTCATAGAGGGGAAGGTGGTTATATAAAATTCAAAGGGGGGTGGGAGTGAGGAGATCCACAAAAAGGAGTAGGCGAGAGGAGGTGGTGGTGT